AGTCTAGTCTATAGTCTAGTCTATAGTCTAGTTCTATAGTCTAGTCTATAGTCTAGTCTATAGTCTAGTCTATAGTCTAGTCTAAGTCTAGTCTATAGTCTAGTAAGTCTAGTCTAAGTCTAGTCTATAGTCTAGTCTATAGTCTAGTCTATAGTCTAGTCTATAGTCTAGTCTATAGTCTAGTCTATAGTCTGTCTATAGTCTAGTCCTAGTCTATAGTCTAGTCTATAGTCTAGTCTATAGTCTAGTCTAGTCTATAGTCTAGTCTATAGTCTAGTCTAGTCTATAGTCTAGTCTATAGTCTAGTCTATAGTCTAGTCTATAGTCTAGTCTATAGTCTATAGTCTAGTCTATAGTCTAGTCTATAGTCTAGTCTATAGTCTAGTCTATAGTCTAGTCTATAGTCTAGTCTATAGTCTAGTCTATAGTCTAGTCTATAGTCTAGTCTATAGTCTAGTCTGTAGTCTAGTCTATAGTCTAGTCTATAGTCTAGTCTATAGTCTAGTCTATAGTCTAGTCTATAGTCTAGTCTATAGTCTAGTCTATAGTCTAGTCTATAGTCTAGTCTATAGTCTAGTCTATAGTCTAGCCTATAGTCTAGTCTATAGTCTAGCCTATAGTCTAGTCTATAGTCTAGTCTATAGTCTAGTCTATAGTCTAGTCTATAGTCTAGTCTATAGTCTAGCCTATAGTCTAGTCTATAGTCTAGCCTATAGTCTAGTCTATAGTCTAGTCTATAGTCTAGTCTATAGTCTAGTCTATAGTCTAGTCTATAGTCTGGTCTATAGTCTAGTCTATAGTCTAGTCTATAGTCTAGTCTATAGTCTAGTCTATATTCTAGTCTATAGTCTAGTCTATAGTCTAGTCTATAGTCTAGTCTATAGTCTAGTCTATAGTCTAGTCTATAGTCTAGTCTATAGTCTAGTCTATAGTTAGTCCTATAGTCTAGTCTATAGTCTAGTCTATAGTCTAGTCTATAGTCTAGTCTATAGTCTAGTCTATAGGCTAGTCTATAGTCTAGTCTATAGTCTAGTCTATAGTCTAGTCTATAGTCTAGTCTATAGTCTAGTCTATAGTCTAGTCTATAGTCTAGTCTATAGTCTAGTCTATAGTCTAGTCTATAGTCTAGTCTATAGTCTAGTCTATAGTCTAGTCTATAGTCTAGTCTATAGTCTAGTCTATAGTCTAGTCTATAGTCTAGTCTATAGTCTAGTCTATAGTCTAGTCTATAGTCTAGTCTATAGTCTAGTCTATAGTCTAGTCTATAGTCTAGTCTATAGTCTAGTCTAGAGTCTAGTCTATAGTCTAGTCTATAGTCGAGTCTATAGTCTAGTCCTATAGTCTAGGTCTTATAGTCTAGTCTATAGTCTAGTCTATAGTCTAGTCTATAGTCTAGTCTATAGTCTAGTCTATATCTAGTCTATAGTCTAGTCTATAGTCTCTATAGTCTAGTCCTATAGTCTAGTCTATAGTCTGTCTATAGTCTAGTCTATAGTCTAGTCTATAGTCTAGTCTATAGTCTAGTCTATAGTCTAGTCTATAGTCTAGTCTAATAGTCTAGTCTAGTCTAGTCTATAGTCTAGTCATCTAGTCAGAGTCTAGTCTAGTCTAGTCTAGTTAAAGTCCTTAGTCCTAGTCTAGTCTAGTCTAGTCTAGTCTATAGTCTAGTCTAGTCTAGTCATAGTCTAGTCTAGCTTATACTCTAGTCCATTTGCCAAATATCAAATCATTTGAAAAAATTCCAGCATAAATTTAACTTTTCAGATTCTTCGAATGATCTCACCAGTATACAACACTCATGTTTAAGTTGTGAAGAGTTAAGCGATCTTTTGCGAGACTTGTAGTATTAAGTATATGATGTAATAAATACATACATAGTTTCACACTATAGATTCCAGTAAAAATCACAAAAAAAAATAGTAACTGCTATTAACCATTAATAACTTTTACACCATCCACTCTTTTAGCAAAAGTTTTCAGACGGCAACATCATAAAAATTACATAAAGCACATTTTGCTAGTCATTCCCTTTGCTCATCAACAAACACAAACGCTATTCAACAGCCGAAATACTTAAATATTTTCGTTTTATTTAATTATAGATTTCATAAAAAGCTTTACATCTTCATTAGTTTTCTACTACTATGTATGAACTATGATTGATTGTTCGAAATGTTTAATCTAAAAATAAAATAAATAAACCTAAAATGGCAAAGATTTCGCCTTCAAGCTAAAAACCAGTATGTGAGTATCTGAAGTTTAAAGCGGAAAGAAGTATTTAATACTCACTTAAATTGAAACAGACACATACATACATGCGCGACTTTTTGTTTATAAGTGCTATGTAGTATACAATAAGTACATATAATTAACTAAAAATTTCACTTCAGTTAAAAAAAAATATGTAGGTGGAAAATACCGGTTATTGAACTAGAAAAATATAAACTTTTAAGTCATAAAACAAAATACAATAAATTATAAAAACAAAACAAACCCTAAAATTAGCTAAGAGCAGGAAGAAGATGTTATTGAAGACGATGAGAAGCAGTGGAGAAACAAAGTAAGTAACAAATAAAACCTCTCATTATCATGTATTCACAATTCATAGACAAATATAAGTTGGTTGTAGGAAACCCGGCAGATTTAAAGGTACATACTTTGATTACTGTTTATATTTGCCTTCTTAAACTAAGTAAATGTTAAACACAGCATTACTTTTCATCAAAGTTCAAATTCATTTAGCGATATGGTTACTGATGATCCTAAAGGAAATAGTTTTAAATCAATTACGTGTGATCGCCGATATGAGGCAAGTTAGCTTTAACCTTTGTAACTAGTTCAATGATCTATAAGGCAAATACAAATTCTATAATCCATTGAACATAAATCTTAGTTTAGGTTAGATTAAGTGGACTGGAGGATGTATACTACATCAGATCGGAAGAAATATATCTAAGACGCTATAACGCCAACTATGCGCTCCCCTACTTAGATATTGTTAATGGAAAGAACATTATATAGTGCTCTTTGGAAGTATTATCGTCCGATGTTTAGAAATCCAGTTTCCAAGATGTAGTTCCTTGGTATTTTCAATATTACTGAGGGATTATTTTGTCTATTTCTGGTCTCTGTAATCGGGCACATCCGACTACGAAATATTCCAGTAGTCAAGACCATAGACTGTTCTATAGTCAAGACTATAGATTGTTCTATAGTCAAGACTATAGACTGTTCTATAGTCAAGACGATAGACTTTTTCTATAGTCAAGACTATTGACTGTTCTATAGTCAAGACTATAGACTGTTCTATAGTCAAGACTATAGACTGTTCTATAGTCAAGACTATAGACTGTTCTATAGTCAAGACTATAGACTGTTCTATAGTCAAGACTATAGACTGTTCTATAGTCAAGACTATAGACTGTTCTATAGTCAAGACTATAGACTGTTCTATAGTCAAGACTATAGACTGTTCTCTAGTCAAGGACTATAGACTGTTCTATAGTCAAGAGTTTAGACTGTTCTATAGTCAAGACTATAAACTGTTCTATAGTCAATACTATAGACTGTTCTATAGTCAAGACTATAGACTGTTCTATAGTCAAGACTATAGACTGTTCTATAGTCAATACTATAGACTGTTCTATAGTCAATACTATAAACTGTTTTATAGTCAAGACTATAGACTGTTCTATAGTGAAGACTATAGACTGTTCTATAGTCAAGACTATAGACTGTTCTATAGTCAAGACTATAGACTGTTCTATAGTCAAGACTATAGACTGTTCTATAGTCAAGACTATACACTGTTCTATAGTCAAGACTATAGACTGTCCTATAGTCAAGACTATAGACTGTTCTATAGTCAAGACTATAGACTGTTCTATAGTCAAGACTATAGACTGTTCTATAGTCAAGACTATAGACTGTTCTATAGTCAAGACTATAGACTGTTCTCTAGTCAAGACTATAGACTGTTCTATAGTCAAGACTTAGACTGTTCTATAGTCATGACTATAGACTGTTCTATAGTCAAGACTTTAGACTGTTCTATAGTCATGACTATAAACTGTTCTATAGTCAATACTATAGACTGTTCTATAGTCAATACTATAGACTGTTCTATAGTCAATACTATAAACTGTTTTATAGTCAAGACTATAGACTGATCTATAGTCAAGACTATAGACTGTTCTATAGTCAAGACTATATGTTCTATCGTAGTCATTAAATTACCTTTGTTCCTTTTCTTATACTTAATTTACCCAGAACGTTTTGTCCAAGAAGTGCACCAGATTATTGTTGCCTAAGATAGAGTTAGTCAATCACAATGAAAATTCAGATTATAATGTGAAAACCTCTTTATTTATTAAATTTGCAGTATTGTTCAAAATCTAAGCAACTTTTTTTCACGCTTCATATGCTTATGTGGTTACTCTAGCTTTTTTAAACAACAGAGAAGCTTCTCTGCAAAAAAATCTCTCAGGTTCCCTTAGGCATTAAAAACTGGCGATTGATAAAGGAAATCCAAATCATAAATCGTATTTGCCGAACAAATCTTAGATTAACATTGATGCTATGTGGAACCATCAAACAACTGAAGTACCCTAGAGAAAGAGAACTGGTTCAACATTCAGTTAAACTGACAAATCCGTGGTCTAGGAGGGAAATCATGTTCACTGTTTACATCTTCTTAGAGAAGTCACAAACCTAAATTAAAGTTCCATTCTGAGGTGTAAGTTTTGGAACACTCGAATACCATTTGTAAGAGAACACTTAGAGATTTTTTTAGATAAACATAAATTCTAAAATTTGTGGAAAATTCGCAGTATTGACATATTAGATATATGCATGTACTATTTGACCTTTTTATTCAATCTTAGAATGAGTTCATTTTAATCAATCAACAAAAAGTTTCCTCATATTTCCACAAGTAAAATATACAAAAAAAATTAACAAATCTGAAAACTCATTCGTAACCAAACGAGTAACTTACATACCTTTACATGTGAACAGCTTTAAATGATGTTGCTTTTTTCATTTAAAAAAATGATGGAAAAATATAAGTAAAGATGTTGAAAGTTTCCGATTGGAGATTTATAGTAATCCTTATTTGTGGTATTACGAAATTGGTGATTGAGAACAAGTTTTAGTGTTAATCCACTTGACACATTTTTATAAGTATTTGAGTGGTTATTTTATATTAAAAAGAATTTATTGTTTTTCTTTTTTTTGTATAAATTTTATTGTTA